CCAGAGATTCTTCTGCTGCAGACCCCGAGCTCGGATCGGAGGTCTTCTGCAAGCTGTGTCTGAGCCAGCAGCCAACTGCAGCCGTGACAGAACTGCAGAGCTGCAGGTGCATCTTCTGCACAGCGGTAAGGAAATAAGTCAATGATGCTCATGTTGAGTCTGTTAGCAAGACGTGCAGAAAAGAATAATTTTCATTCATCATTTACGACTTGTCAAAATTTAAAAACAACTTGATTCAAGATGGAACCACGGCCCACTGACCTCAAGAAAATGACTAAATTAAACATTTTTACAGATAATCGTAGATGTTGCTACAGCTGGGGCTGATCGCCAACATTTTCTGAGCGCTAACAGATTGCACAGGATCTTTGTTTAATTAGCCATTACCTGTTTAGCATTGACTGTGTCTGTCTGTTAGCGTARTATTTCATGAACCACAGGACAAGTTTTAGGTAAACTTGCAAAAACGTCTTCAGTTGAACATTTACCACTGATAAGATTTTGGAGCCAAWACAATTCAAGATGGYTGCCACTACAGCTAATTGACATTAGGGCTGTGCGTTGGCAAGARTTTTGCGATACGATACGTGGGCAGGGGTCACCGTGCGACACATTGCAATATATTGCTGTAAGCAAGACTTCTCCCCAAAGATTCTTATTCAAAATCAACATGTTTTATATCTTTTACATGTTTTATATTTCTTATTTATTTCAATAGTTAGGCCAAATGTGCCATAATACGGGACAGTTGGCAAGCCTACCTCAGCTTTGAAGGCAGTGGTGTCAGTCTAATCTGCTCAGATTCAGCCATCGATACTTAGTGCTAATGTTTACTCACAATGCTAAGGTTTAAGCTAGCGTTATACTCTCAGGCTTGAGATATCGTGATATTTCAGTGTATCAATATTTTCTTAGAGYCCTAATTGACATTAACCCTTTTAAAAATGTCCATAACTCTTTCATAAAGGTTAAATCAGTTTGATCTGATCCAACACCGGAGGGTTTATTTGGCTCTTTTATTGTGGAAGAGTTCCTTTAAGATTTTTTTAAATAGATCCTCTTAGGACAGATTTGGCATATTTACATTTTAGTGAAATAATTTGAACCTTATGCTGACTGTCCCTCACCTTTGTTTGRTTAAATTTGTCCTTGGATCAGTCAGAACCATATTGACCCACCTCCAGCTCTGCTCACAGTTTCAGTTTCTCTCATGTTATGGGAACAGCAGCTTTATCCTCCATGTTCCTGTTTGGWACATTCAGACAGGAGGGGTTAATCTTTGACGAAGCTGCCAGCATTAAACGCACAAGGCCGTGTAAATAAGGACACACCCACATACACGGACACAGAAAGACAAAAAGAAAAAAAAAGCAGGAACTATAGACTCGGCCGTGTAAACCAGAAATACCTGTAATAGTCTGGTTTCAGTTGTTTGTGTTCCTGCTGTTTTCACCTCCAGCTCTTCTCATTCCACACTTGTATTATAAGTTCGTTTTTCTTCTCTGTCCCTTAAAATTGTTTRCATTTGAGCAATACTTAAAGTTTCTCTTGCTCTTCCACTCTTTGTGGTTGAGGCAACATGCAACTTATGATGTGTCGTTGCTGATAAGAAACCTATCTGTGGCGTTTAAATTGCCCTGTTTTCCTTAACAGCTCATTTTCCTCTCTGCTTTGTTTGTTTTGCTGCATGATGTAACATGGGTGGGCAGAGAAGTTCTGTTGGTGTTTGACACAATGTGGTCTTCTTCGGGAAATGTCCTGTTTAATCGTGTTCCCCCTCCCTTCTGCTCAGTGTTTGCAGCAGTATGTCCAGCTGGCCATAATGGAGGGTGGAGGGGCGCCCATCACCTGTCCAGATATGGCGTGTCAACAAAGCGGACAGCTGCTGGACTCTGAGGTATGACGGTTTGAAACTAAAATGAAAGTATTATGTAATGCAGGGGTATCATATTCATTTTCACTGGGGGCCACATGAGCATCATGGTGGCCYTTAAAAGTCCAGTTGTAATTAAATTAAATATTTCCTGTTTAACTTTGACTAAACAGAAATCATCATTGCTACAACTGAGCTCCACTAACAAACAATAACTGAGCTCTATGTGGTATTTCCTKCATAGAAACAGTGTTTGAACACGTCCTCTTATAAACAATGTAAATTACTAAGTGTACGACTGACAAAATGTGAAATAAATTAAACTGAAATACTATTAAAAGTATCAGTTTTACTCACTGTTGAATTCTGAACTCTCCCACGCATATTTTGTTATATTGAATCAAATACACTCACCGGCCACTTTATTAGGTACACCTGTCCAACTGCTCGTTAACACTTAATTTCTAATCAGCCAATCACATGGCGGCAACTCAGTGCATTTAGGCATGTTGACATGGTCAAGACAATCTCCTGCAGTTCAAACCGAGCATCAGTATGGGGAAGAAAGGTGATTTGAGTGCCTTTGAACGTGGCATGGTTGTTGGT